AGATGTGTATATTGTTTGACTTAAATGGTACTTCAAATTAAAATTAAAGTAGACTTTCTTCCCGTGCCGGTATGAAATCTAGTACTACACATGAAGAAGAAACTCAAACTTTATTTGGTAATTTTTCTTCTTTTTAATGTAAGAAAAAGGAAAATAATTAGGGCATAAGATTCATTTTTCTTAAAAATTATGTGGCTAAAAATATTTGTCTCCATGTAGCTTATGTTTTTTTAGTTTTACGAGATGAGGGAAGTATGAATTATAAATAATCTATTTTTAAATATGACATTGATGGATATTGTTAATTAGAGTGTTTGGCTCCAAAGTTTAAATCATATTGAGTTGTAAGACATTGTAAACTATTGCCGCTAATTTATTGCTTGTGCATTGCACATATACAAATTTCGACACCAATACATAATAAATCTGTTTTAAAAACTTACTTCTAAAACTCTTATGGTTTCAAAAGTTTGCACGCATACTCTAACATTTTGTTTATTTTTCCGGCAAAGACTTCCAAACCACACGAGGTATTAGAGCCTACTATCATAGTTTTCCTTCATTTTTAAGTTTCTTTCTTTTAATTACGGAGTAATATTTATAATTAGAATTGTTTGAGTTTGGAAAAAGTTAAACTATCACATACTTCATACGTAGAGCTGGCAAATCAGTCGGTCAAGTCGGGTTCGGGTTCGGTCACTTCAAGTTCGGGTTAATCACATAGTTAATTATTTCTTTCTTTTTTTACGTATTTTTATCTACTTATTCCGTCTTGAATTAATCGTCCCAATTTGACTTGACGAAGCTGATGACAAAAATAATAACAAGTAAAAAGTGCGTGATTTAGAAGAGAGATTGTGAATTACATAATTTTTACTTCAATAATGTTAGATATATACCAAAATAGGATAAGTTATTTGTACACCAAACAAAAATAGACATCAGGAGATATTTAATGTTGGTGCACTCATAGAAACTGAATGTTTGTATGTGCCTATTTTCTACTAAGTGTATAAGTATGATACCTCATTTTGGTATACCACTAGCATTGGCTTTTTTACTTTATTAAGAGATGACATAAGTGCATTGTTTAAACCAATGATTAACAAAAATACAGAAAAACAAACTCATTTAATTAAGAGATGACATAAGTGCATTATTTAAACCAACGATTAACAAAAATAGAGAAAAACAAGCTCATTTTGGGAAGAAGAGAGTATGTATATTTCAAGTATTAACGGTAAAAAAAATACTTTTCTCATTCACATATAACTTTTCTCTTTCTAATATTCGTTTGTCTAAAATTAGGCTCCAATTTTGAATATCATCCATAAAAAATTATGATGAATTCTCTAAGATATATTGCATTAAGATATGACATGGATATTGTTCACATGATTGGCTGATAACAATTTGAAGGGCTTTTTAAAATTTTTGAAATTGTTTAAGGGTGTCTTTTTATTCCTCAACAACAAACAAAATTTGGCATTTCATAGTACATAATTTTTGGCATTATATATTAGCATTATTTGGCATCATATGTCCTATTTTGGTATTTAAAAAAATTTAAGATATTATTTTGATTTGTGCACTAATTTTTAGTCTTGGTTAAAAAAAATTATCAAGAGAGATTTGCAGAGGAATGATGGTTAAACATTTAAGATCTAATTGCTACCTCCTATTTTTCCATGTATGTATTCATTGCTAAACCTGTTTTTATTGTATGTGTATCATATATTCAAGAGAGATTTGCAAAGGAATGGTGGTTACAACAATTTACAGCAATACCCCTTCTCTTGGCACACAGAACCATTGCCCTATCTGCCATCTCTTTGCTGCTCCGCGGACGTGAACGAATTTTGGCGAGCTAGCTCATAGTTGCCATCACCACGGGGTTCGTTCTCGCAATTTGGAGCCGAAACATCTGCTTTGGAACAGAGGAAAAAGAAAGAAGCTGTGTATATGGAGACATGCCACAAGCTGCATCCAATATTACAACACATTTGTTAGAGAGGAAGGTGACAAGGGTGGGTATCTAACATTACTCTTATCTGACCTGTGCCAAATCCAATAGCTTTCACTGGTTTCCAGCTTCCAGCTTATGGCAGCCATTGCCAATGCAATGAAGCCAAGAAGTAAAAAGACCCAATAGAATCGCTTTAAGATTGTCTTGATGAGATTCCGAATCCATGTTTTTATGCCCTCCCACCTGCAAACAGCGTTGTTCACGTATGGTAAATGTGAACAAAGTAGCAGCTTAAATTTGTTACAAGTTTCGTCATACAAAACTACACATAAATGCAACAAGGTAATAATAGGAACAATCTGTTCAAGGGTAACAATGTAATAGTAGGACAGCCTCTCCAAAAGGCTCTTCACCAAATAGTGACTTAGGGTCCTTTTGGTAAAGAGTTCGAGATATGGTTTTTGATATCTCCCGATTTCAAAATCTTTTTGTATGTGTTTGGTGAGCTTAAACTGTGTTCATCATTTTTTTTTCAGATTTCAAAACCCGTATCATATCAATCCTGCTTTGCTCACCAAATGGGCTCTTAATTTTTGCCTTAAGAAACACGGCAATTTTTGCCCATATTGATATAAGATTTACCTGTAAATCATATTCAAACAGACTTGTGTTGAAGAAGATAAGGAAAGCATCCTGCGACGGGTAGAAAGCTCAATAAGGAACCCGATTAACAGGACTGCAGCCCCTATGGCCACCACAATTATTATGTTTGAGGACCTGAAAAAATCATCAAAGAGATTAGGACCTCATATGTAATTTCAAGAAACACCCAAAAACCAAAAACCAAATGAGAAACCTGGTTGGTCCGGTTTCAGCCATAAGGGCGGTAAGTATTGCAACAATAGTGTGTATTGTCCTCTTTGAGATTTCGCTAATAGTAGCCAAGTATACAAAAGTGCTGACAACAGCCATGAAAGAAAGCCAGAAATCCATGAACTGGCAACAAACATCACTTCATACATTAGTAAAAAAAACCGTAGAATCCTTCCTAATTTATTTTAAGTCAATAAATCAAAACACTGAAAAAAACACATAAAAGTGTCTTAATTTTATTTTTAAGCCGGGATTCATAAAAAAAACCTCTCTACTTCCACGTATGGTAAGGTCTGCGAGCACACACACACTCCTCAGACCCTACTCCCTTGTGGGATTCTACTAGATCTGTTGTAAAAAAAAAGTACCTGTAGGACATGGAAAGTTAATGCACACCATGTGCCCACATCACATGCGTGATACAAACCACTTGATATTCCACTTGATGTGAAAAGAACCCATTCTGCAAATGCCTGCAAAGAAAGGGGAAAAGACACCAAATGTCAAAAAGAAAGTTTCCAATTTCAGATTAACCACAAAAGAAGGAAGAAAAAAAAGAACAAGAAGAAGAAAACAGAATATTAATGTGATCACCGGGCTAGCCATTATCACCTTGTGACGAAGAGACCAATACACGGGTAGCAAAGCTGCAGCATTTGATGCAATAAGAGAAACTGATTGCCAAACATGCCCTACATGTTTCAGCATGTTTCCTTTATAAGGCAGTGTTATAGAGTGTGAGGGTTAACTACAACGGATTAGGCATTGCAAGCATATTAACAATATTAAGTAAACCTATAACTTAGTGCAACAAGGTACACTCCTATCCCCACAAACACAACTTTAAACCCTTTCAAGAAAATTCTTGTTAAATACAAATGTCAACCATCATAAGAGGAAACAAAAACTAGACATGCAGATAAAAAAGAGTCTTACCTACTTGTGAAACAAGTTCAATGCTACAATCAAAGCCTCCATGATTGCGGTCACAAGAACAGTAACTGAAACACACACAATGACAGATTAAGAGGTTGCATAATCAAGATGCTTAAAGCTCTGTTTGGTAGACAAATGTGGCTTATTCAGCTTATCAACCCAACAAGTAACTTTTGACTTATTTGGCTGAAATAAGTGTTATCAAACATTTCCTTAAAGAAAACTCAGCATTCTCAGCCATTTTGGGCCGATAAACTTGACCAGACGGGCCCTAAATAAATAAAGTTTTGAGCTTTAGGTTATACTCCCTCCATCCTATATATTTCTTCCCGTTTTTCCTTTTTAGGCCGTCATATAACTTTCTTCCCCTTTCCATAAAGGGAAATACTTCTACATCTTTCTTCAATGTATTACATCACTAGGGGCAAAAATGGAAAGTCAAATATTTTTCATTTTGCAATAAAATGTGTGTCAAGTCAAAACAAGAAGAAAGATATGGGAAGGGGGGAGTATCATCTTTCACCTGTATAGTGTTAGCCCGCTAACATCCATAAGAGATTGGCATGTTCCATGAGAAGCGCATTTCTTGGGGCATCTCTCCAGTGAGATTGACATGATGGTCTGATCAATCAACTTGAGGTTATTCATATTTGGATGTCTCAACCCAAAACTCCATGTTCCTCCTTTCACATATAAGATGTAAAAAGCAACTCTCTTATCACTTGCATCATAGATTTTGAAAAACATGGAGCCATTGCTGTTACTTGTGTTGTTTCTATAGAAGTAATCCCAGCTATCAAGAGAAGGCAACCCACCATACTTTGCATATAATTCATATCCAATATTTGAGTCTGATGTGAGAGAAATGTGAATATTCCCACCGGCAGCACCAAAGGGTATGTCCACTAGGAAAAAGGTCCAAACTGACTCATTTTTCCCCACAGTGGAGGTGTTGGTCAATAGAGGTTCCAAAGGGAAATTTTCAGAATCCGATGATATCTTTTCACTGATTGGTAGATAATGTGATTCGAATGGAACGGATGGGTTTTTTCTCAAAACAGTCTGCAGATAAGAATTTTCAGTACATAAATCATCACCACTTCTTGTGTGTGGTACTGGTACTGAAAAATGGTCTCATAGGTCTAGTGATTCATCATTTTTGTCTACTTTGAAGATTTTCGGTCTGAATACTTCAAATTGTCAGAGGATTTCATCATTTACTGATCATGTGTTGGATTGTGTTCCATAATTTGCTTTTTCAAGTAAAATTGTGATTGCATGGACATTCAAGCTCATAAATAGATAATGTTTATAACTAAAATCTAAATATAAAAAAACAGCAACAAACAGTTTTGCTGGAAAAAGACATAAACTTGGGAGCAAGTGATCCACACATGAAACAAATTTGGTGCACAGTTTTGATATTTTTGCCTGAAAGGTCTTTAATTGGGAAAAGAAAATGAACTATAAGACCAAATATGAGAATGCTCCAAACTATGGACCAATTTGGGTACTACTTTAATAGACAAAACAAAAAGAAACCCAGTCAAATCCCACAAAAAATAGGTTCTCGAGAGGGTGTGTGTATGCAAACTTTACCCCTACTCAGAAGTAGAGACGCTGTTTTCAAAAGACACCACTTTAAAATATATGAGACCAAATATGTAAATCCCCAAAGAGTCTAAAGTACTTCAAAAATGTGGAGTATGATTTAAAGATTATAACTCAACCTGAAGCATGTACCTTTCCCAGGTACAGTTCAATCCAGCCTTATTCACTGGACATTGGAGTATTTCGGTTCTCAAAGAATAACAAATGCTTGCGTTCACTGTTTCTGACATGTTCATTGGTTGAACAGTAACATACCACCGACCAATCTTGGGTGAGAGAATTACCAAAGGAGCATCAGTTATGTCACCGGAGTAATCATGCACAGTCGTTAGCGGCATTGCCCTAAACCGAAGATAAACCATCAGAGGGATACGGTTGTCTTTTTCAGTCACATTTGAAAAATGAGACTGTTTGAGCCTAACATTTGATGCCGTGAGAATTACCCTTTCTGTGATACCAAAGACATCAAAGTAGTACACATCAGACTCCCCATACCCACGACAGCTCACTTCATCAGCGCCTTGGCAAGAAATCACATTTCCTCCCAAATTTGTTTTCAAACCAGTTTCAGGAAGGGTATAACCATCCGTGCACATAAGTGGAGTGACAGACTGGTTGCAGAATTGGCCAGACACCGCTGAAGTTGTGCAGCCTTCCACAGTGATGTTCCCACGGAAAGAATATGCTGAACCTCTATTAACCTGTAATCATGTTTTCAAGCACTTTTTCAAACTAATTTCAAGACAAGTTCTTTGAAATTGTGCTGTGAGGAATCTATGTTTTAAATTAAATTACCATTTTTGACTGCGTTCGCATAGGTCCAGCACCATTAAAGAGTCCAATAAACCATTCACCTGAAGGTATCTGTGAAAAAAAAATTAAATTTGTTCTGTTTTGCTGGTAAGAACAAAAAAAAGCACAAAAATATACTACTTTCGTCACATAAAAAAATTATGTGTTTAACTTTCAGGCGTGGAAAAAAGTTTCTTTTGGAGCGGACGATAAAGGAAAGAAAAGATTTTTGCTTGACGGAGGAAGTATAAAGTATGCAACAGACCTGCTCATTTGTTAATCTCAAATTTATAGTCTTCTGCATCGGATAGCACTTTTCAACAAGCTGGAGATCTTGTACAAATGACCGATTTGAGGCATACTCTAATACTGCAAAAGAATTGCAGTTTTATTATAAGCTGAAGGAATTCATAAGGGTTGGCTAACAAGAAACACCATTTTCAACACAAGGATTGTATGGTCCATTTAGAAGCTGGAAAAAAAACTGGTGAAATAAAAAGAGAGGAAAATAGGAAATAGAACAATGGAGTAAAAAGTGAAGAAAACAGAGAGCAAAACTACCCCTACTCAAAAGTAGAGAGACTGTTTCCACTTTCCAAGAGACCTCCTGTTCAAACTCATCTTATTTTTTTATTTGTACTTTGTAATATATAAACACTAAGAAAAATGATATTTCATTTTCCTTCGTATATTTTAATTCAAAACCGAGGTGTGCACTTTGAATGGAAAAAAAAGGCAGGCCCCTTCAAGGACTGTAATTGTTAAGAATAAGAGTTGAGTATAACTCAGCTCAAAAGAAGCTCTCAAGAGGTGAGGTTTACTTCATGCTTATTAAGGGGTTCATTCATTCATATTTAGGTGATGTGGGATAACATCATCAACAATGCATGCCACCAACCTATGTATACATACATACATACATATATACATACATACATACATACATACATACATACATACATACATACATACATACATACATAAATATGTGTATGTATGTGTGTGTGTGTGTGTGTATATATCCCTATGAATGGGGAACATAAACTAATTATTGCATCAAGTTCAAAAGTGCATGTATTTTTACCTAGTCCAGAATCAGAGATGTTGTAGACATCAGGTAGCGGAGGGCTTCCTTCTCGGAAGCATATAATTGGCAATGAACTTTCAGGCGACTTTCTAATCCTCCCGAGGTCCTGCAAGAAGTAAAAGTGAAAATTTACATCATGGAAAATAAAAATTAGGTTTAAAAATGGGGGGTTGGCGTACGTACTTACAATATCTACATCTGTTTCTATAGATATGTCAACTGAAGAGAACCACGGGGGCAAATCAACTGAAACAAACAGATAAACAGAAATCAAACCCAAAGTCCAACTAAACTAATGCCACAAACGGTGCGGCATTGCTTTATCAATCCAACTTTAGGGTAGGCAAAACACATACTGACAGTTACTATTCACATGGTCAAACTATTTCTTCTTTCTATACATACTAAGGGTGATCAAATGCCTCTTTGTGAATCTTTTTTTGTTTGATGTAGTTTTTTAAATATATAAAGTTTTATTTTTTTATTTTACACCAAAATTGTATATAGTCCATATATACAATGCAAGACTGAACCTTTTCAACACAGGTCAGCCATAAGAACCTGAGAAATCTCAAACCTCAGAAAAATCCTAAAGACAGGGCAACAAAGTATGGGTAGAAGAAGAAAAAACCTCTAATATAGCGCCAATCATAAGGCCCGAGCGCGGTTTTCGCGTAGGTGAAGCTGGATAGAGTGACGGCGCGGCCACCTCGTACTTGTCCGTTCGAGAGACAACCTCGGATGAGGAGAATGAGGACAACGCAGTACAGAGTGGAGAAGAGGAACGGGAGGCGGGTATTCGGGTCGGAGCAACCCGAAATGGGATTTCTGACCATCGAACCGCTCCGGAATCAATCCTGTGAAGAAATTCTCTGGATTTTGATGAGATTTTGAGTGGATCATCGAATCATTTTGACTGTAGTCATGTTTCACGAGGAGCTCACTTTCCTTTTCAAGTAGCTTTAGCAGTTCCTACTTTTCTACCTTTTCGTTTTCTTATTTATTTCTCTTCTTGCAAGAATATGTAGAAGACATTAAGACAATGTTATTTGTCAACGGGAAAGAGTTCAAGAAAAATGAGTTCAAAAATACTACTCCTGGGTATAAGAGTACAAGGGGTTGAAAAATATGAAAAAATTAAAGTGTTAAAAAATTATTCAATTAAATGATCACCTAAATATATATATATAAAGAAAATCTTGATTTTCGATAAAAAATGCATTTTCGTTAGTGTTTGAGGTGGTATTTACTAAATTTAGATATATACTTTTATTGTATGCTCATCATATATTCATAAACTCCGTATTTTTTGCATCGTTGTTGAAAGAAATTAAAGAAACTGAAAGAAGTTAAAAGTTAATTTTTCTAATCCAAAAGAACAAGGCCTGCATTTATATACGGAGTACCATTTTATATATTAAAATTTTATACTGATACAAAATATAAGTACAAATCTGGCATAATATCATTTTTACACTCACATTTTGTATAAGTGTAAAACTTTGATGTACAAAAATGATTTACAAATGTTGTACTCTATATACAAATAGCATTATTGATACGTATAAAATTCACATACATCTACCACAAATAATGAGACATGTCTATGGTAAGTACAAAAATATCATACTTATTGTAACAATTAATTTTCATCGTTGCTAAAAGTCGAGCACACGTTAATCCTACATAGTATCTCTTATGATATTATTCTCTTGACCAATTGAATTGCACCTCATACGTTATCACATTTAAATCTATTTTACATTACATACGAAGTATTTATAATTTTACATTTCATACACTGTTTATTTGTTAAGAAATCTACCTGGATAGAGTAAAAAAGTATGAAAATACTAAAATAAGAGTATGTTGACAGTGTGGTGTAAGAGTATACGTTGTCAGTGTGATGGAAAATTGATGACAATGTCATATGTCAGTGTGATCAGTCAACCAACGGTGATACGCGGTGGCCGGCGACGATGGATGGCAGTGTTGACAGTGATAGTGCAGTGTGGCAGTTAAATGTGACAATGTGGTGAGTGTAGTAGTGTAGCAATGATAGTGTAAACTTCTATTTTGGTCTTAAAAGTCTTATGACTCCTATTTTGACATTTTTATAATTTTTTTACTTTAATCAAGAGATTTCTCCCTTATTTGTTTATTGTTTTCAAATAAACTTGACATTGTCTTCTCAAGCTTAAAATCTATTATTGTCCTTCAACTTTATGAGTTGTGCACGATTGGTCCTTTAAATTTTAAAAGTCCATGAATAATCCTTCAACTTTATGTTGTGCACGATTCGTCTTTCAAGTTCCATAAAATACGAGTAAAGTCTACTAGGTACGACTACTCCGTATTATATGGAGGCTTGGAGCTATTACTCCATTTAGTTTTTAACGTTTACTGTTGAAATGACCTCATCTAGAAGACTGACGTGTACTTGAAAGACTACTTATAGATTTCTTTAAACTTGAAAGATCAATCATGCATAAATCATAAAATTGAAAGATTATTTATAGACTTTAAAAATTTAAAGGATCAATTATACACCACTCATAAAATTAAATGATCAATAAGAGTTCAGCACTTTAGCTTGGAGAATCAATGATGTCTAGTGCATATTTTTTTCTAAAAATTTGGAGAAATGTTAATTGTTCAAAGTTGAATCGTATACTCTAGTCAATGGACCATTCCGCGTGGGATCGATTCACATTTTCCTGTTTTCTAGAATGGGTCGTCGTCAAACACAATGATAGTCGCCATAGCTCTCGCTCAAGTCTTCAGCCGCCGCACGGACGCGGAAAATGCCTAACCCAAAACGCCGGTGATATAAGCCCCCCGGCGTTCATTGCGAGCACGCTGACTCACACTGTCAGACTCGCGGCTTCTTGTTTTAACCAGGCACCGGATTCTTCACCGTGACCCGACCCGGAAATTTGGCTAAGGATGGGGAACGACGAGTACGTGCAGAAAATGCAGGCGCGCCAGAGCTATCGCAATCACTGGCACACCGATCTCATGAAAGCCACTTTCGCAGATCCTCTATGCAAGTCACTTTTTCGAGAAATTCTTGTTCATTTTTTTGCTTGATTTTAGTAGCCCTAGTAATGGAATTGAGATTAATTTTGTTATCTAACGCTTGTTGTTTCTGGGTTTTTTTTTGCAGATTGTTGCTTCTCAATGTGTTGGTGAGTTTTGCTTCTAAAACTACTTGGAACCATGCTTTCTGATTTACTCCATTTGTCCCCAAAAACAAAATCTTTGTGCGTTTGAATTTCAAGGGGTAGCTTAAGAAAAATGTTGAAAAGTGTTTGGTTGGAATTAGTTTATATTGGAGAGAAATCTTGTGACTCAATTCTTCATTACTAAAAAAGAAATAAAGATAAAGTGTGAAATGGTATTTGAGACATCCAAGAAAATGGATAAAGTTTTTATTGGGAGGGAGAAAGTATTTTTTCCAATAGTTTTTGGTGTAAACTTTATGGTTTGAAATGAAACCGTATTATTAGCCATAAAAAATGAAAGCCTTTAAGTCACTTGCAAGAATGCAATTTAGTTTGGGTTAGTTCTCTTCAATGTTCTTGAGTTTTTTTTTAATATCTCTGAAACAGAGACTACAAGTTTCAGATTATATTTCTAAACGCTGGAAAAGTGTTTTCTTTTATCATGTTCTCTTACTAGTGTAACTGCTGATTGTGATCAGTGCTCCATGTGCTTCATACCTGCTGCGCAAGAGAGCTCTTTATAATGACATGTCTAGGTAATACCCGTCCTTTTCCGCATTAGAGCTAAAGTTGTGTAGAATGCTGAAATTTTAATTACAGAAAGAAAGAAGCTTAGCATAGTTTGAACTGTTTGTCTTCATCAACAGATATACATGTTGTGGGGGGTACATGCCTTGCAGCGGTAGATGTGGGGAAAGTCATTGTCCTGAACTCTGTCTTTGCACTGAGGTACGTCTTTCTTTTTTTCTTATTGATCTTATAATGTTTTTTTAATGAAGATCTGCGGGCATTGTTTCCTATGATTAGGTGTTTTGTTGCTTCGCGAATTCAGTTGCTTCAACACGCTTTATTTTACAAGATGAGTTCAACATACAGACTACACAGTGTGATAATTGCATTATTGTAATCTCTCTCTCTCTCTATTTCTCCATTTGGGGCTTGTATTTCATGTTATTATGATGATTGCATCTTTATTCTACATCATCATCATCATCATCATTTATTCTACCTTGTTTCCTGGGATATAGGGATTCATGTTCTGCCTCCAGCAGCTGGCATGCATATGTAGCTGCATTGCTTGCATTCTTGGAAGTGAGGAGCTCGAAGATCTGTCTCAGTTGTTGAATTGTTTTTCCGATGCCGTTTACTGCTCGTAAGACCTCCCCCGTTCCAACCCCCACCCCCCACACAAATTCATAGTTTTTACTTTTTCCTCATTGTTCATATGCTTACTTTTTGTTTCTTTTCCATTGCAGGGTTTGCTCCTGTATGCAGGTAGGTGCATAGTGTGTGTGTGTGTGTGTGTGTTTAACTGAATCGAACCAAAATAACCCGAACGGGAATCAAAGCATATCTGTTTCAATTATAGTTCAGAAATGATTTTCTTGGACCATAATAAACCAGAATAGAGTAGGGGTTGCTCAAATGAGTCGTAGGACACTTGGGTCAAACCACATTAAAAAAGTGAACGCACATTGAATCTTTAAGAAAAATGAACAACCTCAAACTGAAGCCGAGCCAAAGTAAGGTTTGGTTTAGTTCAGATTCATTTCCTCCAGTCCCTTTTAATGAACTGTTCTAAAGGTTTTCTTGTTGGTGTATGATCATATGCATATATAGACACAACACAAAGTTGAGATGGACAAAAGAGATGGCAAACTGGGAGGAGGGCATGCTCCAATGGCGGCTCCACCAGTTCAATATATGTCTCGTATCGATCAGCCTCTCCCTCCACCAGCAGGATATGGTCAGCCTCCCTCGGCATACCCACCCCCACCCCCACCCCATCAGCAGGGATACAATTACCCACCGCCGCCAGTACAGGGTTATCCTTATGCATCACCACCTCCCTCACAACCGACCGAGGGCTATGGTTACCCACCACCAGGGCATGGCTATGGTCACCCGCCACCACCACCGCCTGCCCAAGGGCACCCATTCCCTAATTATCCTCCACCTGCCCTGTGACACAAAAGATGGGTGAAAATTATTCTTTTGGTATTTAAAAAAAACATTCTTCATTTTTTCCTCTTATAATGTTGTGCATATGGAATTAGTAGCATTTTCCAGGTCCTGTGAGAATACTGTAATCATGTGTTAGTGTGTTACCAATGCCTAGTGGTGTCTACAAACAGCTTTCAATAATGGCGTATGTTTCACATGATTCTTACTTGGGAATGTTTGTACAAACTTTGTGAGTTTAATGAATAAAACATGGTCAAGTATTCCATGTTGTCGTCGTGTGTTTGTTCATCTATTGTTTTCATGACTCGATTCAATCTATTTTGTTTCTGATGAATACCAGTCGAGTCGTTCATGAGCTTTTCGCAAGCCAATTCCACGGTGTTCAAATTGTATTCATTTAATACTCAAATGTTACGTTCATTTGATAAAAAGTACTCTCTTTGTCTCAAGTTATTGAGAGGATGTTAAAAAGTAAAATTTACTTCATATTAGAAAACTATATCAAAAAACTGTACAAAACAAGAAGTAACATAAGTATATTATTCTATCAAATGAGTAACAAAAAATAGATATAAGTAAACGAAATTAGACCCTGTGGATAGTAAACATACGACTTTTTTTGGGATACAGGGAGTACAACAATTACAACATACCCAATATAATCACACACTAATACTTGTGGCCTTATGAACAACATCAAACTTTATTTGATGAGACTTGAATGCTGCTGAGCTTTGAAACACCTTCAGGAACCTCCAATGCCAACCTAGACCAAACAAACGAGTCTCCGAACCTGAAACTCCTCTTCACAGCCACACTTCCTATCAGCAGCAAGAAAACCGCACCGGCCAACAGAGGAAGGGCAAAACCGTCCCCGTTCCTTGTCCTCCCCCACCTCCTCAAAACATAACCCGCGCAGACCTCGCCACCAAAGCTCCCCATTGAGTTGTTCATCTTCATGATCTCAACTCCATTGAGAATGGCATCCACAGCGCGCGCCACACTCATATCAGATGGCCCCACACTGACAGTCAAGATGCCAGAATTGCCCTCGCCCCCATCAACCACAAAGTCAGCATAGAATGGCGATGCCAACATCCCGTTCGTGATCTTCGTGGGGTCCATGTTTTCGTAAGCCAAGAATCCATTGACATAAACGTTGAAGTACAGCAGACCACTTGACAAGCTACTGATGTCACAAAAGTGTGTTCTCACTAAGTACTTGTAGCCCTCTTCCACAGGAAAAGCCCATGAGATGTTAGCTTTGGGGATCGAATCGCTCGAACTCTTTATGATCCTTGCCGTGTTATACATATTATCCGGGCCAACTTCTCGGCCTGCGCCCCCAGCCTGGTACTGTATATGACCGCCATAGTAGGCCTTTGAAGAGCCGCCAGGTTTCACCAAGAACTCATCATCAGGAAGCCAAGTTCTCCACAGAGTGTCATTGAATGGGGTTACTTTAGGGCCTCCCATGGTGACTCTGTACACTGTTTCTAGAGCATTCTTCGATAATCCATCGATTCGTTTGTTTTTATGGGAATTGAGATCCTGAGCTGAATCTGCAATCAAATCTTTTGGAGCTGAAAGTACTTCGATTCCATTGACGAATGCGAATTTCGATTTCTCAGAGGGGACGAAGGCGATCACGAGCTTATCCGAATCAACCCTAATTGCGTAATCTCTGATCACCGCGGAATTCCAGATCGCTTCGATGCTAAAACTGTTCAACAGCACATACTCATTCGCCAAAACGTAGAATTGAGCATTGGAGTAATCGAGACCCGTGTTCAGTACCTGGAAATGGAGGCGTAAGAGATGAGCGCCCGGATCTCTGATACTGAAAGCGTACTTGGATGGCCGGTTGAAGACCCGACCCGTGTGGTAAATCGGGGATGATCCGGGACGAGGGTCCGAGTCGGCGAGCGAAACCGAATGGGATGCAGAGATCAGAGGCGAATGCGGTGACGAGTCTCCGTCGAAACGGCGGTGGTCGAGGTCGACGGCGCTGCCGTGGGACCCGCAATTGATGAGGTAGTGGTCGACGGGGGAGAAGGAGGAGGAGGAGACGACGGTGACGAAGAGGAGAAACGAAGAAAAGGCGAGAGCGAAAGGTAGCTCGTGTTTCGCCATTGCTAAGGCCATGGGAGCTTGAGCTAATTATCCATGGAGAGTTTTTCCAGTTCCATCAATGAAGAATTTGGACGGCGGAAGTCGATGATACGCTGGTCAAGTGTCTACGCGTTGGGTCAACTTGCTTAAACGGCTTGAGCAGACCCACCCGAATTTTGTTAGGATGGGCTCGGACCGGTTCGCGGTTTGCACTCAACAAAATAGAGTGTTGTTGAGTGTCTTAGAGGATGTTTGACAATGCGCTGTTTTCAATCATTTAGCTTCTGCTTTGATGAGTATAATATATACCAGTACTCTTTGGTACTGAGGCTATCATGGACCATCCAATTGATGGAGTACCGACCAAGATCTTGGCGACTATTTCATGACGTGTGTTCGGTGATTAGTCAACCCTGGAGGTTGGGAGATCGGTTACTGTTCTCATGTTTTAAAATGAGCATTTCAGACGATTTTTAATCAACATTGAGCGACCGGTCAACCCCGGGAAAGGGCGCCTGCTAAATATTGGGAGCATTTCGTGTTTGGCACCAAGGTGACAAGTCACAATTTTAAAAGTACCATAATCCAAAAAATTAGAGTTCTAAATCACTCAGGAGATTTGTATAGAAAAATTGTTTGTCTCCTAGTTAGGTGTGTGTTCCATGAAAATGTATCAATTAGACAACAATGGAAACTACCCTTCCCATGTCTGTTATTGGGCAACTTCCACTCACTTTCCATATCTCTAATTTACAAATAGTTTGTTACAGAGTGAGGAGAAGGACATTCAATTCTTTTCCCACCAAACTGAATACACTCTAGACTTCTAGAGAAAAAGAGTAAGAAAGATATTCTGACTTAAGAGATATGTCCCAGTCTAAGTTATCATTTGTGTGTTTTTTACTTTCTAGCTTACTTTTTACTCACCCGGCTAGGTTTTCCTAACCCGAGCAGCCACGTATTTATTTATTCTATGAAATTTACACCATCATACTCTATATCAAAATCTGACACTCATGGACATTGCATTTTTCATCATCTGATTTGATTGATTTCAATTTTAATTTATTAAGGTATGGTCTAAATTTTTTTAGTATTCATACTTATTTTATGAACCATAATATATAAACATTATGACTAAAAAATAAAATATCCAGATGGCGGCCTACTGAAAGACCTATAAGGCCCATATTCTAATGAATCTTAGTATAAACAGTGTCGACCTTGCTGACCCGGGTTGGATAGACCCGGAATCCCCGGATAGTGAAAGAAGGGAAAGCCCTCCTCCCTCAGCAGCCCACCCCGAACGGAATCTCAGAACCTCACTAGAAACCTCTCTCTCTCTCTCTCTCTCTCTCTCTCTCCGTGAAACTGTAACTGCAACAAAAAGAACTCTGCCATGGCATTTCCTTACATGGAATCGGTCGTTGGTACGCTCTAATATTCCCCACTGTTATGCGAATTCGGAGTATCATATATTGTATGCCGAGTGTTATTTGCATTTGTATGCGTTAGGCTTGTTGATAGGTCATATAGACATATTCCGGATTTCATTATTGCTTTTTTTTTCCTTTTTTGGTTTTTGGATTTGACTTATCCAAACCTTATTCTTAACTCGGATTGTGATTGGGGTTTGGGATGGGAATTTCACAATCGTGATGGTATAAATGAAAAAAAAAAGAACCGTTGAAATTTGAGAAACATTGAGGAAATACCGAAATAGTATAAATTTTCACACAAAAAAGTAATCTTTAACTGATTTTTTCCAATTGTTATTATAGCTCCGAGGTTTAAAGTTTGTCCTTTTTTGGTATAGTTATGATTTCGGTTTCTTCTTTGTGAAGAATGGTGAAAATTGTTACATGTGGAATAACTGGAATTGCTATTTTGTGCTTCCCGCCTCAAATTTGTACGAGTGCAATAAGTTTATTGGTTGCATTTTTTTGGATCTATGAAGATTTTATTCTAAACATTAGAATTAAGGTGGGGCCTTATTTCTTAGATGTATATTCCACCCCAGAATGCAGTCAAGAGATATTGTAAAAAAATGTCGGCAGTCTAAGTGGAATCCCTACAACTTCATTCAGATAGACTATCTGAGATAGTCTTCGTTGATCCATATAAATCACATGGTGAACTGAAAAGAACTGATCTTTGATATTTAAAACTTATCCCTTTTTGTTTCTTTTCTAGCAAACCGATAATGAGATCCAGATATCCATTTGAAGCTTTCATGTTTTTGTTCATTATTGGAAAAAAGAACGGTTGAGCATCAACTTGAGAGTAGAAACCTCATGCAATGTAGCACCTTACTTAATAGCAATCACTTTTGATGAAGTGCCATAACCAACCCAAACATACCAGTAAGTGCCGTTAGGAGTAGGTTCCGAGGAGGGTGATTTATATAGTTTTAGAAAAAAACTGCTGAGGTGTTTTTTCCCGTTGATTAAGGGAACTCAATGGAGGCTATAGGATGATACATTTTTAGAAAAAAATGTCTAAAGTCCTTGAAATTTCTGAGAGTTTCTTTAGTTTTTTTTTAGCAAAAGAAAAAAGACATCTAATGGTAAAAGCTGGTGTGAACAGCAGGGTGAAAATTTGTCAGGCAAAAGATTTGATGAATAAAAAAGCATTGAACAAAAACAAGGAAAATAGATTGTAAAGTAGGCAAGCATAGTAGAGAGAAAAGTACTAGTTAAGTCTCACTTAACGCACATTTAAGTCTAGGATCATGGATGAAGATAACCCCCACTCCCATAGGCCATAACAATGATTACTCTCGAACTCCAAGAAATTTGATAACCTAGTGCAACACCTCAAGAAAATGCTCTCAGAATTTTTGTCATCTGAAGTTTCTTATATGCAGTGTACTGTAGGGTGCTGCCTTTGTAGTTTGGTTGGTAACTGATTTTTCTTCCATGTTTTTAAACCTTTCAGGTTTTATGATATTCATGTACTTTTTTGAAACTTACCTCAATATAAGGCAGCATGCCGCTCTTAAGGTCCCAACACTTCCTAAACCTTTGGTAGGGGTAATAAGTCAAGAAAAGTTTGAGAAGGCCCAAGCTTATAGTCTTGATAAAAGGTTTGTTTGATCCAACTCTTTTTTGTTCATGGGTTTTTGTTCAATTAATCTTTCACTTATATTTTTCTTGTTGGTGGGTCTTAAATATTTCCCCCAGCTATTTTCACTTTTTCCATGAGTATATCAGCATACTTATGGACTCAATAATTCTGTTGTGTGGGATCTTACCTTGGTTCTGGAAGGTGAGTGGTTCACTATCTTGAGGCATTCTCTGTCATACGAAACCTATTATTATTATTGTTATTGTTATTATTGTTACTTACTACTGCTGCTCCTACAATTATTGATGTAGAAATCAGGAGATGCCTTGGTGTTCTTTGGTCTTAACACAGAAAATGAGATACTGCACACACTTGCGTTTTTAGCTGGTGTAATGGTTTGGTCACAGGTGTGTTTTCTGGTCTATTTGGCAACATTAAAGTTTTCATCTTAGATGCTTTTCTTTGAGGCAATATCATCTACTTTGCCATATACATTTATTATTCTTTGACATGTCACAAAATTTCAGGTGTAAAAACCTAGCACATCATGATTAGTAGTAGTACACCGTATAAATTTTCTTTTTATGCTTATTCTTCACACAAGTACTTCTGCAGATCACGGACTTGCCGTTTACTTTGTACTCGACATTTGTGATTGAGGCTCGCCATGGTTTCAACAAGGTATACCTTTTGAGTTCCTGACTGCAGTTACTCTATTTATTTTTTTGACTTCATGATATTGTACTCATACTTGCACTGAGGTGCTATATTTACACCATCATTATTCCTTGGAACTTGCATTTTTGTCGTGGTACAGCAAACGATAGGGCTATTCATCAAGGACATGATCAAAAGTATTATATTATCTGTTGTGATTGGCCCACCTATTGTGGCTGCAATCATTTTGATAGTACAGGTACCTTTTAACTCCATAATTTTCATCAGGTTTTCTATTTACTGTTTCTTTTACAACTCAATATTAGAAATGGCAACTTTATATCTTTATCAGAACATGACATTGATTTTCTTGTTGACCAGCATCTATTCAGTTTAAACCTTGCTACATGCACTATTTTTAAAATATCCTTAGGCAACTTCACTGTTGCTTAGTTATACCGTAATTAATTACTTTGTGCTTCTGGATTTCAAATAGTGGAAATGCTATATCTATAGTGTCTTATTTTACCCCTTTTTTAATGGTGTCCCAAAGTGATAATGATTTTTGTATGTAGAAAGGAGGTCCTTACTTGGCGATATATCTGTGGGGATTCATGCTTGTACTATCTCTTGTGATGATGACAATTTACCCTATCCTGATTGCCCCACTTTTCAACAAGTTTACCCCAGTGAGTATTAGTCTTTTGTCCTTTCTCCTTTTTACATTTCATCTTGCCCAATGTTATTTTGAAGAAAAGATTGACGTCTAATAACATAAAGAATGATGGTTTACTTTTTTTTTCTTTTCACGTGTAGCTTCCTGATGGCGAGCTTAGAGAAAAAATTGAAAAACTTGCTTCCTCACTCAAATTCCCCTTAAAGAAGTTGTTTGTTGTTGATGGATCTACAAGGTCTAGCCATAGCAATGTAAGTATCAGGCAACCTCTTTTTATTACACTATTGAATGTCTTTTTTTAAAAAAATTAAGTTCACTACCATTTCACCGTGTTCAAAATATCTCCATATGAAAGATAATAACTTAATACATAAAGTTTTTCACGATTTTAACTTAGGCACAGTTTTCTAGTAGAAACTTTCCTGGTTTTCATGAAGATAACTGAACCACATAATCTTTGGAATCGTTACTTAGGAAGTTCATGTTAACTAGCGTGAACTTCGAAATATGGAGTATTGCATAAAGATAAATAAATTTCCATTTTGGTCATGACCTTTTTGTATCCCAATGATGTTTCTGATTGTATTCCCACCATCGTCTCTATAGGATATTAAGACTCCTGTCATCCTCTCTATTTTTTTGCTCATCACAAATCTATTATTTATGGCTTTCTTTTTGTAGGCATACATGTATGGATTCTTCAAGAACAAACGGATTGTCCTTTATGATACATTGATTCAGCAGGTGAGGCAGTTACCTGACATGCTTAATGGAGTTCCCCGATTTTTCAAACCTTGAATTCAGCATCCGGCATCAGTTTTACTTTCTTATCTCTTTCTTTAATGCTCTATGCTTCTTAGTGCAAGAATGATGAGGAGATCGTTGCCGTGCTTGCACATGAATTAGGTCACTGGAAACTAAACCATACAATGTACACCTTCATTGCTGTCCAGGCAAGTATATGCAAGTCATCCATCATTATTAAATCCAAGAATTGAATTCATTCTCATATGTTTTATCTAATAGACATTTTTGTCCCTTTTTCTAAAGCGAGATTTTTGTCCTCTATGCTAGGATTTTATTTTATTTTTATTTTCTTGACTTGTTGTGATGTAGTTTTTTCTTTACGCTGTGCAGATCCTCACATTTTTGCAGTTTGGAGGGTATACACTTGTTAAGAATTCAAAAGACATGTTTTTGAGTTTTGGCTTTGATACTCAACCTGTTCTTATTGGGCTCATAATTTTCCAGGTAATAACTAAGCTATTCTTGTCATGCTAGATTCCTTGAACGTGCTGAAGTTAAAAGGCCAGTAACGGTTATTGTGCACCCCCCACCCCACCCCACCATGCATTATCTTCATTAAAATGTATGTGTCGTTAACTCATTTGCAAGAATTACAAGTTTAGTGAGTTGTGTTTTGAAAGTATGAGCTTCTCTTATGTTTATCCAACCTGTTTTTTATTTATTACTATAGTTTAGTATAATAATAATAATAATAATAATAATAATAATAATAATAATAATAATAATAATAATACTCCCTTTGTCTCATACTCCGTAATAGTTTTTTAAATTTGACTTCACGAAGATTTACACTATGTTTGGTTCAAGGGTTTTGAAAGAAAAAGAAAAGAAAATTGTTCTATTTTTTTCCTTACTAAAATGGGAGGAATTTGGTTTTCTCTCATTTTAGTAATTTTACCTTCTAGTAATTTTACCTTCTCATTTTCTTTTTCTTCCAATTTTCTTTTCTTTTCCTATCTAACCGAACATAAAAAAATTAATTTTTCTCTTTCCCTTTCAAATTCCTTGAGCCAAACATAGTGTAAGAAAAGAGTTGAAAAGTGAAAAGTTTGTGGTAAGATTTTTTTTAATAGAAAAAAGAGATATAGGTTGGACCATATATACAAGTCCAAAAAGGGAAAGAAGAAGTGAGCGATTTTGGGATGGATAAAAAAGTGGGAAAACTAATGTGAAATGGAGGGAGTTGATATTATTACAAAGTGTTGTTTTCTCATCCCCACTTATTATTGTTATATAGTGTATTGATAAGAGATTGGAACAGGTCCTACTTTCTCAATTTAGCTGTTTATAATTACTTTCTATTTGCTGACTTTTCCAGCTCATATCATAATTTAGTCTAAATGTATGTACCATTTGCAAGTCTAACTATAAAACAATATGGTTCCAGCACATTTCTGTTTGGGGAGCACAACAACTAAAACAATCTTGGGGAGCACATTTCTGTTTGTTTTACCACTTACAGTATTATATTTTTCTTGTTTGTTGTGTAGCACACTGTGATTCCTCTGCAGCACCTCGTGAATTTCGGGCTTAATCTTGTCAGCCGAGCTTTTGAATTTCAGGTAACTTTCTGTTAAGTATACTATGCCAAAGCTGTGTTTTTTTCAGTTCGACTCCCTAGATTTATATGTATATATATATGTCCCTGCCTTAGGCCGATGCTTTTGCTAAGAAACTTGGGTATGCTTCGCATCTTCGTGCTGCTCTCGTAAAATTACAGGTACCCCCGCCCCCCACTCCCCAAATGCCCACTTGTTTGTCGATACGTGGATTGGAATTGTTTTTTGTAAGTTTTTGACCCATTTTTGCCCAAGAAAAAAGCCCATTCTGTTGATTTGTTTATTGCCAGGAGGAAAATTCGTCNCCCCCCCCCCCCCCCCAATGCCCACTTGTTTGTCGATACGTGGATTGGAATTGGTTTTTGTAAGTTTTTCACCCATATGTCCCAAGAAAAAAGCCCATTCTGTTGATTTGTTTATTGCCAGGAGGAAAATTCGTCAGCCATGAACACCGATCCTTGGTACTCTGCTTACCACCATTCTCACCCTCCCCTAGTTGAAAGGCTGGCTGCAATTGATGAACCTGATAAAAAGACAGAGTGATGATCCCTTCCTTGTTCACAGGCAACCCTCAAACTCCCCCAAATCCCTACTACCCCTACCCCCAAACTCACACACATATGCTATAGTCCACTGCTTAGGAGGTTGGGAAGTGGTTTTTTGAACTCTAAGCGATAACTTTTCTCTATGTGGTCATAGGTTGACAAAGTGAACTTGTGTAAAATGTGACTACATTGTTAGTTCATATTCCTATATTTTTTCCCTATTAAATTAGTTGTCCTAAAAAAAGAGATAGTTATCCTATTTTGTTTTCACAGATATTACCAAGGTTGATATTGAAGAAGTGAAAATAACTTGTTTGAATTTATTCAAAATAGAAAAGTATTATAGATTAGGGTCATGCTAGGGTGTCACCACGTGAATGCTATCATGGGTGCATTCATGCTTTGCACAAACACAGACGGTTATCGTCTGTGTTTGCCTGTGCGAAGCATGAGTGTGCCCATGGGTGCTACCCTAGCATTATTCTTTAGTTTACTTGTCTTTTTCCAACAAAATATTCGGAAAATATTTTAAAAACTATAATTTTTTCTCAAATGTTTTCACTTCTTTTTCTTCTAAAAAACATTCTACTCTCTATTCTTTCCCCGTCCACCCCTACGCCTCCTTCCCCAGCCCTTCCAATGTTTGGAAGAAAAAAAATGGCCGGGTGGTCAGGTATAGGCTTCATTTTTTGTTGTCTGTGATTAAAATTTAATTTTTACGTAGTACTCCCTCCGTCTCAGAGTATTTGTCCACTTTCATTTTTGCACACCATTCAATGCACTTCTTTAATCCATTTTATCTTGTAATTTGTACATTAAAAAATTATAGAAATTATATATTAATAATCTATATGTTAAGACAAATCAAACAAGATCACACATGACTATATTTAGGCTTACACATTGAGAGAATTTGATGAGTCAAAGGGCTTAGATGAACAGTTCCAAAAGTCAAAAGTGGACAAAGAGAGTGGGACGGAGGGAGTATTTGTTATATGACCATAGGCCATATTTTGAGGGACCCTTTGAGATAAGTTTTTTTTTTTGTTTGGAAGAATAAAAATGGGATGATAACGTAGTGGTTTGGTAATTATGAGGAAGAAACAACGTAAAGACACTGCAAACCTCATGGACCCACCCCACCATTCGTTGCCCTCAAAATGGTCTCTGCAAACCTCTAATTCAAAATTATTTAAAAAAAGAGTGATTTTGTCCAATGGCTCTTTTTTCGCCAAAATATGATTGGAAGGGTGTGTGTGCAACATTTTGAGACCACGAAAATTTTAGAAATAAGTTTCGAAAATTGAAGGAGGTATTAAAGCCAATTTTCCAAACTACAAAGGGCATTGAAGCTATTTGGGCTAAATTAAAAATAATTTTAGACATACATTCCATATCAAAGAGTTAAAGAAAAAATATAAAAAGTTTTTTTTGTATGAGAGAAAAATACTTTGAGACACCTTTAATTTTGGAACAAAGGTACAAGTTTAAATACTACTCCGTATAAGATTTAAAGTTATATGGTTGTTTCTAAATTAAATTCACACATCTTTTTAACATTTTTTCGTATTTAGAAATGGTACAAAAAAAGGTAAAAGCACTTTTGTTTTTAAGATAGATTTGCGGAATGTATTTAGAAATGATAAGAAAATGTGAACCAAAAAAAACTTTTTTCCTTTCAAAATTTCACTGCTAAAAATTGAATAAATTTAAATGTCGGACTAAAGTTGAGCAATTGATGACACTAGATTTTAAAAAAATGTACCTAAAACATGAGGAATCAAACTTGATTTTGATCAATTTTCATGGGAATAAAAAAGGAGTTGAGAAGATTAAAAAAGTTTATGATTAAATTTACGTAGCATAATATCTACATCTTTTTTGTGTCCTCTTAAGATATTTTCATTTTCATTTTTAATAATTTCTAAAGAGAATTGAAAAAAGTAAAAACTTACCGCAATACATTAATGAAAATGGATAGAGTATTTAAAACGAGGTGTGTGAGGTGTAATATATAAAGTTTGAGTAATTGTAGTATTTTAAATGTTAAAAAGATAATGAGAAAATTAATGAGAAACAAATAAAAAAGACTAATATAATGGAAAGATTTACGAATTGGGAGTATTTGTTTCCAAAAAAATTGGAGAAGTATAAAATTTTCTTTTCATTGGATGTTTAAAGGATTAAATATATTTTTAGTCCATGTAAAATAGTTAACTTTTGTTTTTTTATACCCTTGTAAATTTTTTTTACGAATAATGCTAGAGTCACAACTCACAAGCAACTTGGACCCAAATTACACAAACTTGTTATTTGTGTACTTTTCCAAGTGAATAAAATGATTTTAAATTATTTAAAAATAGAAAGTTACATACTCCTACATAAATGGTAAGTTTGTGAAATTTGTGTCCAAATTGTTTGTGACTCTAGCATTCCTCTTTTTTTACTTACGTTATCCTTACAAAAAAAATATTTTGAAACTGGTTCATAAATGTAATTAACACGTCTAATTAGTTGAAAAAACAAACTTCTTTCATATTCAACATTCTAGTCTTGCAAATCTAAATATCTCTTTCACAATTATTACTAACTAAATTGTGTTCTTGTTTATAATGTATCTTCAATTTCCAAAGCTCTTGGAAATATAGAGTAATATAATTTGATGTTACTCTGTAATTCAATGAAAGATATAATTTGGGGCATAAATTCTATATGTGAGGTAATCATAAATGCAAAACTTAAATATTGAGAATGAAAAAATATGCTCTCAACACATTAGAAGGTTTTCTTACGTTTAAACGTGAGTAATGAAAATAATTAGTGACATTTTGGAGAAAAAAAAATTATTGAGCCACTTTCACAACTTTTGATTTGGTATTTTGCCGAAGAAATTTATACTGAATTTTCAAAAAAGTCAAAATTTGGAGTATCATTTTGGAAAAATAATACGTGTAATAGATAATTATCAATAAACACTTTTTAGTGTTGCTAATGAAAAAGTTGTAATGCAAAAAATGTAGTGAGTTATAAAAATAATAGTAACTTTTCAAAGAAAAAATTATTGGGTCATTGTCATAATAGTTGTAATGTTGTTTTGCAAAATATATTTATAGTGAATTATCAAAAAAAATATTCACAAGCTTTGTAGTGACATTTTATAAAAAATAATACTCCGTAATAGCATGTTATCAAAAAACAATTCGAAGTCTCTCTCAATGAAGAAATTGCAACTTACAAAAAAAAGTAATGAGTTATGAAGTAAATAAATTAATTCCACTTTTTAGAATAATTTATTCTGTAATTTCACAATTTTTATAATATTATTTCGGAGAACACCATTATTGACAGATTCTCTTTTTTCAATTTTCAAGTTTTAATCTTAATTTGAATGTAATTTTTAAAATTTTTTATAAATGATATGTAGTACAAAATTTAAGTGTTTTATCTAGAGTGACACCTTTTTTTTCAAGAATAAATTAGTTCCATTAGTAGTAGAATAACTTTTTGTATAATTTCACAACTTTTGTAACATTATTTTGGAAAAAATAATTATTACTAGATTATTGATTATTGAAAAAAAATAATCCGGTCTAAAAAAACTTAAATTTGTACTATTTATAAATATATTTAATAAACATTTAAATTTAAAATAAAATAAAAACACAAAAAAATAAAACAGAGCAAAATTTAATGGGGTACAGCGGTAGTAGTACTATTACAAGTGGACACAAAAAAAGGAAAGAAAAATAAAAAGGAAAAAAGGAAAAGGAAAAAAGAGATTCTCTTCTCAGCTCGCTCTTATCCCTGACAGTGTCCACCACCACCTCCGATTGTCTGAATCCAGCAGGTGAAAATTCTCCATGGTACAATACCGCCGGCGAAATCTCTCCTGTTCAAGCTCGCCGGAAAACCGCCATCTCCTTCAGGATATCGCCGGAGTATATTGAATTCCTCGCCGTAGATCCGTCCGGCATTTATACCTGAATCGCCCGTTTAATACGGTCAACGAATCTAATATCCGCGTTAATTGCACGCGGAATCGCTCATGATTGAAGATGCATTCGCACGGAGTGCTGCGAGTGAGTGCGTGCTTTAGATGAAGATGTCGGTGTACGACGCGCCGTTCGTGAACAGTGAGCTCTCGAAGCCTACATCGATTTTCGGGCTGAAGCTATGGGTGGTGATCGGAGTCTTCGTCGGAGTTGTTATTGTTCTCATTCTGTTTCTCATCTCGCTCTGCATCACGGCGTCGCGCCGCCGCACATCCAAGGCTAAGCTCCTCTACAAGGCTACCGGGGAGTTTACCCCTCCTATTTCAAAGGAAATTCAGGAGATCGTTCACCATGACGCCGCCCCTGATCACCGCCCCATCGCTCAGGTAGGTTTTCCGTTAAGCTTAGTTATTTTCAGTAGTTCTACTTTTCTTTTTTTTTCCATCCAAAAGTTATTATTGGAATTTGATTGGTAAATTTAGACATTACTCCGTAATAATTTTTTATTTATTGGTGTGGCGTCTTGAGTTAAGTTTGGCGACTGTTGAATGCTTTGATTCTTTTTTCCGTTCTAGTTTGCAAAAGCTCATTCTTGTTTTAAACGAGGCTTGTACTGTCTTAGAAAGTGTTGTTTCTTAGCATCTTATTGAGTGTTTATATGACCTGTAAGTGATACTCATTTGGGGACATTTCTGTTGTTTTTATAACTATAAAATGTTATTTCAGGGATTGCCAGAAATTCAGATTGACATGGGAAAAATGGAGCACAGAATTGTGTTCTCAGACAAGGTACCGGGGGCATCAAGTGGGGAGAGTAGAGCCACGAGTGGAGATACGGGATCAGTTGGAGGGAGCGGATCATTGCCGGAAGTGTCCCATTTGGGGTGGGGAAGGTGGTATACCCTCAGGGAGCTTGAGGCCGCCACCAATGGATTATCGGATGAGAATGTTATTGGTGAAGGTGGGTATGGAATTGTCTACCAGGGTATTTTGTCTGACGGAACTAGAGTGGCGGTGAAAAATCTATTGAATAACAGGTATCCATCATCAGATTTCACTTGCATATAAATTTTTTATATTGTTTTTACTTTTAAGTTGAAAGTTCAAATAGGCAGAGATACTTATAATCTTTTGCTGGTTATTGTAGTCTAGCATGTTATGTGTTTACATCCATTCTTACATTAATGCAAGTTTCCTTGAATGTGTTCTTTAAAGTGTTTGCCGGAGTGGTTTCTTATTTAATTATTTTTAATTATAGCATTCCCCCTATTGAAAAATGAATCCAAGTAAATCCCAATGTATATGGTCCATTAATCCTTCTGAGTTCTGATAAATAATTTGTTAATGGGTCTGCTATGTAATCAGAGGTCAAGCAGAGAGAGAATTCAAGGTAGAGGTGGAAGCTATTGGGCGTGTGAGGCACAAAAACCTTGTGAGGCTTCTTGGCTACTGTGTTGAAGGAGCTTACAGGTATTCTGTATTCTTAGCATTCCCTCTACCCCAATGAGAGTATTCTCCCAACAAAAAAGCCCGTTCGAGCTAAAGAAACCATTTTTCATTAATTAATTATTTGATGCATTTCTAAAATAGCGTTCCAAATTTGTTAAGCATGTTAGATTTAGTCAAAACAACAAATACGTAGTAATTATTAAAAAGTTAGCAAAAATTGATGATTTTTTGCTGTTTCACTTGTAAGCCTGTACCAAATGAGAATTAAAAAGAACTCTTCTTTCAGGTCATAGGTAGAACAAGTTTGACTTTCTTATTTTTCTTTCCTGCTCAACCTGATTTTAGAAACTTCCTGATGTTTTTTATAAATTGAATTGATATGTATCCTTAATTTATGTAGGATGCTTGTGTATGAGTATGTAGACAACGGGAATTTGGACCAGTGGCTTCATGGAGATGTTGGGGAAGTCAGCCCTTTGACTTGGGATATTCGTATGAATATTATATTGGGATGTGCAAAAGGGTATGCAATTAAAATTTGTTTCATAGATTTTTCCCTTTAAATATCATGTCTGTGAATAGCCATTTGTTATTCAAATTACCATTATTGTTGTTATTATTATTATTATCATTTTATTATTATTATTATTATTATTATTATTGTTATTATTATTATTATTATTTTGTGGCAGCTTGGCCTATCTACACGAGGGTCTTGAACCAAAAGTAGTTCATAGGGATGTGAAATCCAGCAACATACTCCTTGATAGGCAATGGCATACAAAGCTGTCAGACTTTGGGCTTGCTAAGCTCTTGAATGCAGAGAGCACTTATGTGACAACTCGTGTGATGGGAACATTTGGGTAAGTTAATTTTTATCTCAGAGGGATTAATTTCCACAACTTTATTATTATCAATTCTGCCGGGCTTCATAGGTGATGATAAGTAAATTTTAAACCTTCTTCCATCAGATATGTTGCCCCAGAATATGCTTGCACGGGTATGCTGAACGAGAAAAGTGACATATATAGCTTTGGAATACTTATCATGGAGATCATCACAGGGAGAACCCCTGTTGATCATGGCCGTCCACAAGGAGAGGTCAGGCTTACATATAAAATACGTTCTTGATTCATTCTGTCTAACTGAATAAATAATAGTAACATGAATATTATTCCTATAGGTTCATTTGGTTGACTGGTTGAAGGCTATGGTTGGTAACAGAAAATCCGAGGAGGTCGTGGACCCTAAACTACCCGAAGTGCCTTCTTCTAAAGCACTAAAGCGTGTTCTTTTGGTTGCTCTTAGATGTGTTGATCCTGAAGCTCAGAAGAGGCCCAAAATGGGACATATTATTCATATGCTCGAGGCTGACGATCTTTTGTTTCGTGATGTATGATCAACATTAATATCCTTTGCTAACAATTAAGTGCCTTTTTAGTAGCCATAATCATCTTATTCTGCGTATCAGCATAATAAGTTGCTTTTAGCTTATTTGGCGTGAATTGTTGTAACTAGACGCTCTTTCTTCCTAAAAGATTGAGTACGTCCAACCAATTTCAGCCAAATAACTCTTAACAAAGAGACCCTAACAAGTTGACTTTATTGATTTTGAGTGCAAAAATGTTGTTAGGACTTGGGAGTATCATCATGTTGTTACTGGGTTTGAATCTTATAGTTTACAAGTTTCAGTTAAACCTCACATCTTGATGATCCTTTTGGGGTTAGAATTGGCTCATTTTAACATGGTATTGAAGTTTGATCCGACCCAATGGTGTGGGACGTTCACCAACTCAATGGTTTGGGAACATTTGAGTGTCACACATCATTCGTTTACCAACTTCTTTTCTAAATGCCAAGTTTGATTCTAGCAAACAGGGATGAGGGGAGGTACCTCAATCTTTTTGAGAGGAACTTTTTGAAGGGTAAGTTAGGGCCAATTTACCATATCCTCACAGTCACGCTTTCTAAATATTCCCTTTTGATTTATGCAGGAAAGAAGGGACAGAAGAGAATCGTCTGGCTCCCGCCGTGATCACAAGGAACACAATAATGCCGGTCCAAAAGCAGGTATGAAACAATATGGGGATGTGGCTTCAGACATCAGCGAAGGCGAATGTAGTGGTAGGAGCCATAACCAACCATCCAGATTGAGACAAAACTAAAATATACTTAAGCACTTTATCAAAAAAAAAAACAATTTTCAATTTGTGCATTTAGCTCCTTTTTGCCTAGCTTCTACCACATGTTCACATTGCTTGATTTACTCATTGACTCTATTTATTTGTTCACCACAACAGCTGTATATAAATATTCTCATTATCATTATATTACTCCCCGATTCGTTATTATTCATTCTTACACTCTCCTATCTTAAACCAGTGATTCTTTGCAACTTTTCTCGATATCTTTTTCCCAAATCCTTGTTTCTGTTAATGCATTTTTGCAAAATGATGCCGAGTATTTTCTCGTTAGCTCTCACCGTACATATGCCCTTAAGTAGGAGTCATGTTTAGAGAGGTAGATTATAGAAGTGACTAAAGGGGTCTTTAGGTAAGATCATCACCTTCTAGTCTTAATGGGGAGGGACAAAAATGAGCTGGCTGTTGAGATATATTTGGTGTATTAGCCCCAATCTTCTCTACCTAGCTATTGTTACCCATTGATTAGCCTTTTCTTTTTTGTTGTTTTCCCTCTTTTCTGCAATTTATTTTATTCTACTTGAAGAAATTTTGTAGGGCATTAGCCCATAGGCTTTTCTGGTGTTTATGGAATTATGGGGGTAATGAATTTCATTTAAAAATTATGAGTCTTTTATTGTCGGCTGAAATTTACTAAACTGAATTGAAATAAAAGTTTATTACAAGTATAATTCAAATTATAAAATTCCGAACTCAAAATATGTAAAGAAATAAGTTTAGTTTGTTCAATGAGATAAAAATGTGGTGTGAGATTTGATTAATTTGATAGAGAATAAAAATGTTTAAGTCCCACATTAGAAAGTAATTTATGTTTTAATCCTATTGAGTGTAAATTTTTCCAATTTGATATCAACCAATGAGAAACCATTGATTGGGTTTAAAAATTTCATTGCTTTAGTCATCCCCCTCCCCATAATTATCATATGGAGTGAATGTACATTTTTCTGTTTAAAATATTCGATTTTATTTTTGAAAATTTTCTTTCTAAAAAAAAGATTGTGTGGTTCATACTATTTTTTCTATACACAACCTATAATAACGCATGTTTAACTTTATTAGATATCATGTTAATTTTTCTCATACAAAAAGATAATTACATAACAAAAAGAGTATAATGATGGAAAGTTGTTACAAAAGGTGACCGGTCACAATTCTGTATGGTCATCACAGAAGATAATCTAGAAGATAACTCTACACATGAGCCTGGTCGGGCATACGGGTAGATCGACGGGAGTGACGCGGTCTGTTGATAGGCGCATGATCTTGCTACCTCACCCCGCCATCTACGCAATTTAATTGCGCAGTGAAGATTCCGCTCCATGAGGGATGGCTAGATTGGTGCTCGTTAATGATTGAAATAATGAGCGTCGGGTCAAGAAGTTATTTCCATGTATGGCTATTGACTGATGCTAGGGTTACGGCTAGATTGCAGCTGCTTGCCTTGTTTAGTCTCCTCCATTCTGTATAAATAGAGGAGAGTAAAGGGATGATTAAGATTCAATCATTCTCACACAAACTTATATATTTTTAGGACAGGGTAAGAAATATAAGTTCGGGCACATGAATTCTTTTCTGGTCTAATAAATCACTCTAGTGTTCTTACTTCCTTGTGTGTTTTCCTTACCGATAGAGTCCATTTGGCCATTTCAGGACCAGTCAAACCTACCCGGGCAAATTTACACCATCAATAACAAATTTGATTTGAATTGAATTGAATGGAGTATTTAATTTGTGTCAAGAATATGTTTTTGCTATAACTCAAACATGTTGGGTTTTTTTCTTTTCTCTTTTCTACAGCATTTATGAAAACACAGCAAGGTATCTTAGTGGGTTTTGCTGGCCTGGTGTGAAACCATGTGGTGCTTTAACTAGCCTGGCTTAAATGGGAATGGTTTCATTGCCAATTGCCAAATACTCTCAACTAAATGCACCACCACCCAACACCTCATCTACTCTGTTTTCTTAAATGTTATTTGATCTAAAAAAAATATATTGTCTATTTATACTTTTCACATTTAATAAGTAATAGTGCACGCTAAGTCAATACTTTGCGTCTACAAGGAATCATATCTAAGTAAATTTCCGCATTAATCTTAAGAAGAAGACATTCTACTATTCATGTCAAGGGAGAAGCTTTACAATTTACATATACTCTCATTGGATTATGCAAATTTATGAACTCAAATCTTTTGCCCAACAGAGCTCTTTTAGGTCCGAGTAGGGATAAACAAGGTACTAATTTGACATTAGAACTGGATTAGAGTGGAGGGTTTTGGAACCAGAATTGAAAACTGGTGGAAAAGATTTTGGTTAGGATTTTCATTTTAAGAATCGAAATCAGTAGTTCTTCTAAAAAAAGAGAAGACAATGAGCTTAGAGAAGAAAACAAAATTTCTTCTATCTTGCTGAGCAAAATGAGATTTTTTTCTTTTTCTTTTTAATTTATAGAACCAAATATAGTGTAAAAGAATTATACTATTGGAAATTTGGAATAACATGCAAAATTTCGTACCTTTTTTTAAACAAACAAGGTTGACGGGTAGATTATACTTAAGCCCTTGGTTCCCTTGTTTTCTTCTCCCTTTCCTTGATTCCTTCATTGTTCGAGAGCCTTTCTATGCATTTTATAAAAAGATATCTCTTAACTTCTTTATTATATTTTCAAATCCCGTTTTTGGTATAAGCAATTCAAGACAACAATACTCCACCATTGTTAAATCGATTTTGGTAAGTATATATATTATTATCTTTTAACAATTACAAATTGCTTAAGATATATCTTTTTTGGACCAGTTAAATTCAAGCCCTCCTCATCCCAAAAACCGAAAAAATCTATCCAAAGCAATTTGTAATTGTCAAAAGATAATACTCCAAATTAACAATGGTGAAGTACTGTTGTGTTGAATTGCTTCTACCAAAATTAGGATTTGAAAATACAATAAAAAAAAAGCTAAGAGATACTCCGTATGTTTTTATAAACAAAAATGCTAGGGGTACACCAATTTTTGTTCCCCATTTGTATCCCCCCTCTATCTCCACCACACAAAAGCAAGAAAAGAAAAAAAAATTAAAAATATAAAAGGAAATCTATGACTATGATTGTTGGTGTACAAATGGGGTACATCAAATGGTGTACCCTAACATTCCTCTGTTATAAAATGCAGAGGAAGGCCACAGAATGGTGGTGAAGGAATCAAGGGTGGGAAGGGTGAGAAGTGTTAGTGAGAAGAAAATAAAGGAACTAAGGGTTTAAATATAATCCGACTGTTAGCCTTATTTGTTTTATTATGTAAAAGGCATTTATTTTTTTTATAATTTGGTTTAAAATAAAAAGAGAACTAACATATTAAAAAAATTACAATAAAAGTTGTACAAATAAGATGCAGCAATAATATTTAATTTTTAAAAATAATTAATAAAAATATACAAATAAGTACTCATTCCGGTCAGAGTTTATCTTCTCATTTGAGCTGTCACGATTTCTAATGTAGTACTTTAATCATTAATATTGATATTTATACATAGGTATATATAGTATAAAAATTTAATATTTTAATTAAAAGAAAAATACTTATACTGTCTTTCATCAAATTACAATGTTATTTATATATCGAAATCACATTTTACAAATTGTAATCAAAATAATAAAAATAAAAAGATTAAAATCGGATGAAAGAGTAAAAATTATTGAGAGATTAAAATTAAAAAATTCTAAGGAGAAAATGAGAAAGAAAAAAAAAAGAAGTCCAAGAATGTGCGGTTGAAGTCTGCACCTAGCCACAAACTGGATAAACTGTGGTCGTCGCTCATGAAACCTTCCTCATGGCCGCCGCATCCGCCGCCTTCCACCACCACTATAGTCGCTGCTGCTTCCTCTCCGACGTATCCAAAGTGGCACTGATTACTAGGAAACACAGACCATTTCTGTTTACTTTTACAGAAAGATCACGCCTTTACCAGCTCTCTTGCTTTTCTTCTTCTTCTTCTTCTTCTTCCACTTCGCCGCCGCCGCCTCCGCGGTTGCCGGAATTAAATTCCACAGCTTCGACGGCCGAGTCTTGCGTCAATCTGGGCCTTTCCCTCTTTTCCAAAGGACGGGTACGCACAATCTGCTTCCATCCCAAAGACTTGATTTTTGCAAATTATTACGGATTATTATTATTATTATTATTATTATTATTATTATTATTATTATTATGTTCTTTGATTATTTTGTAAAAGAACAAAATTTGTAAGGAAAAAACTTGAAATGAAAATGATTTTTAAATTTTCATACTAACAAGTTAGGATTTATGGTTTCTTTTACTATCTTTTCCATTTCTTTAGCATTTCCTATTCGGCTATTCCTTCCTAATTCTCTGAGCCAAATATACTGTTTTAGTGGTATATGAAGTGGAATTTCTTCAGCCATGTTAGTAACTACGAAGTATGACATAAAATTTTAAATTTTAAGGTGAAAGATGCTTTGGAGCAGTTTGATTCAGCACTAACTTTAGAGCCTAATCCATTTGAAGCTCAAGCTGCACTTTATAATAAAGCTTGCTGTCATGCATACAGGTAATTTTTTTTTTTTGTGTGTAATGAGGATGATTTTACACCCAACATGTGAAAATGAGCATTATTCAAAAATAAAATGAGCATTTCTCACATTCAAACAAGCAATTTTTAAGAGGTAAAATGAGGAAAATAATAAAAACACAAACACCAAAAAAACCTAGAAGAAATGTACATTCTTTAGGGGAATGATGAGGATATCGTCAAACAAATTAAAAGAGTGCCAATAGATGTTCATACATTCAAGTATATAATACGGAGTATAATACAATATGCGGCTTTATCCCCCTCCTCTTTGTGCTAGTCTGTAGTTTATATTCCCTTTATAGCTGTTAGAGCATACAACCTATTTTTAGAGTATAGAACCTTTCTTGGGCATCAAGCCACATGCTTGAACTTTTGGTTGAGTTGGTTCATTGACGTAGACCTAGACGTCAAGAGTTCAAATCTCATTGTCACCTAATTTTTTTTTAAAAAATAATATTTATGTGCAAGTCTCAAATAAAAACAAATGTTGCCTAGAGTGTAAAACCTTTTGGGACCTTTAGCTACAATTTTGAGCTTTTGTTCGTAGGTCCGGGTAAAGATCTATTATCTAACAATAGCATTTTTGTTGGACCTTATGTTCTTGTTTGTTTCTTGATGAAGAGGGGAAGGTAAAAAGGCAGCTGATTGTTTGCGCCTTGCTTTGAAACAATATAATCTCAAGTTTGGCACAATCCTAAATGATCCTGACTTGGCTTCTTTTAGAGCTTTACCTGAATTTAAAGAATTGCAAGAAGAGGTTTGTTTTTCAAGGCTACGCCTGTGTTTCTGAATTTTGTTAGCTTCCTTCCATCTGAAAGTTTTAGTATGAGTAACCTAAATCACAATTTTGTTGTCTTCAAATTTCGTGCATGTTGATTTTATGGTGCCAAAATTGCAAATGTGGCAACTGCCAAATCATCTTTGTGCCATGATATCTTCAATGCAATTGAAAAAAAATATGGTGATTTTTGGAATTTCATTTTGTTATTCCTTCCTAAGAAGATTGAGGCTGGATAGACATCTGTAACTTAACATAGTCAGGACTAAGTTGATATAATGCAATGGAAGCAACTCCAAGTATTGCATTACAAGCACCAACTACAATATTACCCCTACATCTGACCTAAAAAATGAGTTTTTTTTCTTCAGTAAGGTGCATATGAGAAATCATTCAACAATGACATCAAAACCAGTAAATTCCACAAAAACTTGGGTTTGGAGAGCGTGTGTACGCAGCCCTTACCCTGGCTCAACACAGAAGCACAAACAAGCATTTGAGAAATCAATATCAGAAACCATCTATTGTAATTATATTTTTTATAATTTATTTTTTGGTTTGATTGAACTTAACATGCTCAAATTCTTTGGGACACTATTTGAAACAAAACACTTAATATAATAAAAGTTAGGGTCTTTTATTTAGATATGACTCTTTTAGGGACATATTGAAGTTTTCAAATAGGACTCTTTTTTCACAAGGCGGGAGCAATTTGTCTTTTACCATGGTTTCAGGCTAGGCTAGGTGGAGAGGATATTGGGTACAGTTTCAGAAGAGACCTCAAGCTCATTAGTGAGGTCCAAGCTCCATTTCGAGGGGTTAGAAAATTCTTTTATATTGCATTTACTGCTGCGGCCGGAATATCTTTGTTTTTCACTATGCCAATGCTAATCCGTGCACTCCAAGGGGGAGATGGTGCTCCCGATGTTTGGGAGACCTTAGGAAATGCTGCAATCAATATTGGCGGTGAGTATCAACCGTGTCTATATGAGTTTGTTTATGTTGCTTAGTGTGTTACAAATGGGTCATGCTATAGTCACACCATGAATGACATCAAGGTTGACACAGCCAATGTTTCACAGATAATGAATGTCTTTAGGTGATTATCTCTTGTGGTGTCATCCATGGGTTACAGTAGCATTCCTTACCACAATTTCCTATACTTTGGGTAGAAATTATGGAGCTATGGAAGAACCATAAAGCTTGTTTGGGATAACTTATGGTATACATGCTTTTATCATAAGTAATCTCTCAGTTAAGCGCTTAGGATGTGTCTGGTTGGAGGGGAGGGAAAGAAAAGGAAGGGAGAGGATTTGATTTATTTTTTTTTACAAAAAACTTCATATCCTTACC